AATAATAATATAACCATAGTACTGCAGAGCTGGAAGGGATCCTATAGATCATTGAGTCCAGACCCTGTCAACTAGGCTCAGTGTGGAACTGAACTCCCAACCTCTGGGTCTGCAGTCTGGTGTCTAAACTCTTGAGGTACCCAGCAGTTACAGCTACCAGTCCTCCGGCCAACATGGGCAAAGAAGTAGCCATTCCAAGCTTTGTTCAGAGCCCACTAAATAAATCAGCCTGAGTGAATCTACCCAGCAATCTTCTTGATTAGGAAACTGGCTTACCTTAAACTGGCTGAAATATGGATGATGACGCTTCTCTCTTTCTCCATCCAGGTCTTCCAGAGGCGACAAGATGGATCAGTGGATTTCTACCGTGACTGGAAGTCCTACAAAAATGGTTTTGGAAACAAGGCATCAGAATTTTGGCTGGGCAATGATAAAATCCACCTTCTCACAAACTCTGGTAATCTAGAGCTTCCTCTTCTGCCTGTTTCTGGTAGAACAGTATCATCAGGTACTGAAGAGCAAAATGGAGTTTTCTAAGCCCTCACAGAGAATGGCATGGCTTCCTGGAGTGGTTCTCAGAACCTTACCTTCACCCATAGAACTTATAGTGAAAATGACAGAATCTATGGCCAGAAACAGACATTCGAATGGCCTGTCATTGGACATGAAAGCACATGGATATTGTAGAAGAGAGACTGAGGCAGTCTTTCCTTATTTGAAAAATCACAGGCTTCAAAGAAGTCCTGTACTTAAATCCTGAAAACCAGTCACCAGATGTAAACTAATTTGCATAATTTCAGAGGTGAAATAATCCTGTGCTCTGTCACTCAGATGGCCATGTTAGTTAAGAATTTCCCTCTTCCATGTTTCTAGTTTAGCATGTACATTTTAGACCTATTTTAGAAAATGGCCTATTTTAGAATAGATCAAATGTTGTTAAGATTACTGGAAAAATCAGTATTGTTTTAATATACTGTGGCAAATGAACATGTAGTCCTCCAGGTATGGTTGTCATTACTGCAACTTCCTGTGTTGACTAGAGCTGATGGGAGATGAAATCCAGCAATATCTGGAAGGCCATACATTTCCCAATCCTGTTTTAAAAGAATCCTCTTCCTCTAATATAGTCACACAATAACCTGTGAAGATAGGATTGTATTCTGCTCACAGTTGTCCATAAGACTGACCTTCTGTAAAATTAATTGTTCAGACAAATGATTAAATTTTGAAGTGTTATTTGAGGGTCAAATTGGATATTAAATGGATTATTTACTTTCTGTAATTTTTTAATCCTCCAACGACTTAAGCAGATGTATGCTTAAGTAATAAAACATATAGATTAAGACCATGGTTACCTCCCAGTTACCAATAGCAAAATGACAAACTGTAATGCAAAGTGTAGACATGAGTGAATGCATGCACTAGGATGCACAGACATATTTCATCCCTTAAAGTGTGCCTTCTCCATACCCTTCCTCACATCTTTGGGCTGAAATGGCCCATCATCCCACCACGGCTGTGTAGGAGAAGAGGTTCAATCCAAGGGTTTCTCTCATCAGCAATGCCCACCCTCTGGTATCTCTCATCAGGAACACAGCAGCTGCGGATTGACGTGATGGACTTCAATGACTCAAGAACATACGCTAAATATACGAGTTTCAGAATCTCAAGCGAGAAAGAAAACTACACACTGGCAGTGGGTTCCTATGTTGATGGTGACATGGGTGAGTAAGTCAGAGAATTGCTCTTTCATTTGGGCATCTCTTTCAGGTATCCTTTAAGAAAGCATAAAAAATCTTGCTGGATGAGATGAACTCCTGCCTAGTGCTTTTGCTGGTTTCCAAAGGCACCTGTCCTCCTGTGCCCTGAGGCAGGACAGGAAGGTCGCCGCCATTTCTTACAGTTTACTGTATCCTGAGCATTTAATTAACAGAGCTTTACAGCTTTTGACTGTGGGGAGTCCAGGCTGCATCTGAAGCATGGAAGATGTATGCAATTTTAGAGCAACTGCCTGCCATTTAACTGCCACTGAGGTATCTTCCATACATTTGTCTAACCTTGTAGTGGGGATGGGGACTTGCTGAAGGCTGCAGGAGTCCCCAGGCTTCCCCACACCAAACTCAATTTCTAAATATATCTAAAAGTGATCTATTGTGCCATCAAAACCTTCCAGGTTCTCCAGAAATAACCTTTTCTTCCAAGCTCAGAAAGTATCTTCCAATTACTTCATAAAAGTAAGAGGAGATGCATAATCTGTCCAAGTCTGTGTGTATGTTCAGAGAGCAGCACTCAGATTCTCAACAACTGTTGAACTTAAAACAAAACCAAACAAAACCTCATGGTGTGTTACACTTGAGAAACTCAAGATTTTGGTCATTCACTGCCGCATCAGATCTGCAGTACTGGATTTTGTAATTGCACATTGTACGCAGAAATACTTCTTCTTGGCTGCAATCCAACAGTACCTGAAAGAGCATGTGGGGTTAAAAAAGTTTAATGAATAAATACTCCCTGTGCATAATTCTTAATGTGTTTATTTTGATAATAATTTTCTAAAGCTATATAATGCTTGTACCCCCCCCCCCAAGCTATAAAACCCCATATCTCAGCCTGGGGCGATTTATAACCTCTAAATGTTCTGGATTGCAGCCTACTGCCCTAATAGACAGCATCACTAATGCTGAGGGAGGAAGGGACTGGTAGTCCAGCAACAACTGGAGGCCCTCTAGTTGACAACCCCTGTTTTAGCCTGTCCATGCAGGGAAGTATGCCCAAGCTCCTGGTGATACTTCATGCTCCGTTTGAACTTTTCCCAGTCACATGATAGCTTTCTTTGAAGTGACATGACCACAACTGGTCACAGCGTTCTTTCTAAATACACTTCTACTTTAGAATTATGTACTAATAAATGGATGATGTTTCCATTATGCTACTTTAGGGGAGATTGGCTCATCTGGCTCAGTATACTCTATCCTGGGGTGGGATGATACATGGTCCAAGAGCCACAAGTAGCCCCAAACAATTTCCCTACTGCTTCCCATGTGCACCTGCATCACCATAGCAACAATAAAGAAATGCCATTTGCCTTCTAAGAATGTCTTCTTAACAAAGCATTCCTCTTAAAAGTAGGCAGCACTTTTTCCACAAGGAGAGGGGCTCTGGGTGGGCTTCAGGGCTGGATGTCTGGCCCCTGGATAACTTTGGAAAGGGAGACTGTGTACTACGCTAGGCCCACGCCACCTTTCAGTGCATCGCCAGTGCTTCCGAAGGGTCTTTCCCAGCCCTGCTGCGGAAGCCAGAAACGGAAGCTGTTGTTTTCTGCCTGCAAAACATACCAGATATTTAGATGCGGTCTCTTGCTTTGTACTATAGCAGTGTAATAAGGAAACCCACTGTTTCTTTGCTCTTTCTCCTTTCAGGTGATTCTTTCACAGGACACCGAGGCTTTGCATTCTCCACACGGGACAGAGACAACGATGTCTATGAACCAGGAAGTTGCTCTGTGATGTACAAGGGTGGCTGGTGGTATAGTAGCTGCCATTCTTCCAACTTGAATGGCTTGTACCTCAAAGGCGAACATACCTCATACGCTAATGGCATCAACTGGGCTGCTGGAAAAGGGCACCATTATTCGTACAAATATGCAGATATGAAAATTAGACCTCAATAAGTGAGATATCTCTCTGTTCAGACTTTTTTATAAACTTATTCCATGCATTGACTTGCAGATGAATTTCCTTCTCAGTTTAGAGCATGACACATAAAACTTTCAACATGGGCACCTGAAAATCCTAAGTCCAGGCCATTAGCAGCCCCATGAGGTGTGGATGGAGATATCTGTGTCTGTCTGTCTGTCTGAGGATGACTGCATGTATATTTCTGCTATAGCTGTAACACTAGGAAATGTAGCAAATGAGAATAAGGACGTTCTATCCCTTTTAGTTAATCTCCCTCGCAAACTGATTAATTGAATTAATTGACTAATTTTAATGAATTAAAATTTGTCTGTAGCTTCAGTGGCACTTCAGATACTGTATGGCAGACCTCAGACTCCATAGGAGTCATAGGGTTCCCCCAAAGTGGGGATCTCCACAAGAAAAGGAAAGCCATGTGGTATTTAGTCCAGATTGTTGCAGCTGGTTTGGATGGGGCTGTGAAGAGTTAAGGTGCAACTAAACAGTGAAGGGAATGTGAATTAACTCTCATTCTCTTGCTATGCAGTCACACGGGGGTGAGTGGGAACATTCTGTTCTCTTCACCTTAAGTGGCCACGCAGGAATAGGAGGAAGAAAGCCTTTTCATTGCAGTTGTACCCGAAGTGCCTGTAGGTGGCGCAGTTCAAAGGAAGTGCCTTAAGAGGAAACAAGTGATTGATTCCTTGCGTAAGTCTGACCAGTCTTTCCTTTCCGCATCGGTTCACATGCTTTGAGCCAAAGTGGAAGGATTTGACTTTTAAGAATTAGAAAGCTCTCTGATGGTGGTGAACTACAAACTGGGGCTGTGGGACTCCGGGCCTATTTACATTTCCTACTGCATCACATGATCAACAGGGGAAAAAAATGTGAATCAGACCAACCGCCCCAAACCTGCAGGATTTCCTGCATTTTTTTTTCTTTTGGGGTCAAAGTCTTAGGTGCTTAATCTTCTCTCCTAGCCTTTGTCACAGTTGAACACACACAGACACACACACAGACACACAATTTTTTTCTTGTGGGGTCAAAGTCTTAGGTGCTTAGTCTTCTCTCCTGGCCTTTGTCACAGTTGAACACACACAGACACACACACACATGTATGTAAAAATAAACTTAATATAGAAACGAAGAGCAACAGAGACTACAAATTGAAATTTCTGGTCCTGTGGCCTGATTTTTTTGGGGGCCTTATTTTGTTGGGGGGGGGGGAGGAGAAGAAGAGGCAGAGGCTGAGTGAACAGCTGTGTGGGGTGGAAGGAATGATGAGAAAAATCAGTAATGAAGAAAAAAGTAGAGCGTGCAGATGTCATACAATGCAATTTATTTGATTTTACCTGGTGCCGTTTTATACTGTTAGCTGCCTTGGTTGGATTCCCTGGGTTTTCCCCCTTTTTAAAAAAACAGATGTATTTAAAACAGATTCTTCAAAACAGCGCATGGGAAAAAACTCAATTCATCTTAACTAGTTTTGTTTGTCACAGGAAAATCTAAAATTGAAAGCATGGGCAGGCAATCTGATTTTCAAAAGCACGGAACTCGTATCCAGGAGCAGTAGAGATACATTGACTATACATTTCCCTGACTATCAGGTGTTTGGACCACCCAGAAGACACAGATGTCATAGTTGCTGCAGTCCTGAAAACACAATATGGAATAATGCTAGAACCTGCTGTGCTTGAAGACTGCTATTAAAAGCACTTCCAGTAATAACTCCAATAAAAGTTGTAGAAGGTCCTTGTTCAGTTTCCCAGCAAGCAACCTCAGATATAGTGGCAAAGTTACCTGCGAAGAGATTTAAAGAAAAACTACCTGCTAGTGGAGTTCAACAGATCATAAAGCATATTTCTTCGGTTTCAGCCTCCCTTTCTCAAGCCTATGGTGCTAAATTAATTGAAGGAAGTGGGTGTGCATATACATTTGATACAGACAATATTCTCAATCACATTTATAAGGAAGAGTTGTACTCAAACCTGTTTTAGCAGAAAGGCGCACTACTTAATAAGTTAGATGTAAATGAATGGTAACAAAACTGAGGTAAGCAAAAAGTTCATTCGCATCAGCTGTAAGCCTCTGGAATTAACTAAGTGAGGGATGCCTGCAGGAGTCTGGTATTTGCAATCTTTGGCTGGATAACCTCAACATCTTGACAGACATTTTACTAAGCTTCAACTGAGGGGAAAGTTCCATTGGTTAGCAACAATCCATGTCCACATCACTTTGCAAGCTTTGCCATGGTGCAAGCAGAAAGTGGGTTTCCTTCATGGAGAGCACTGATTACAACATGGTGACACCTGTCTCAGCAGTTTTTCTTCAGGTAGTCAAAGGCTGTCTCAATTGCTAAATCACAACTGAATCATGGTGCTCCCTTCTAAGGTCTGAATTTCCTGAATGACACCAAATTACCATAGCCAAATAAGGGAATGCAGGAATTCAAAGGACAGACAGACAATCAAGATGATAGGAAGAGAATCTGGACAAACCAAATAGATACAGGATAAAGAAAAACTGAAGGTAAGCTATGGGAGTAGACCTAGAGGCTGAAGATACCAGCTGATGTGTTACTATCATGGACTGTGAGGGTCACATGCTCAAATATTATAAGCATGGGCCTGTCAAGAAAAAAACCTTCTGCTTATGACAGATGGACGGAGGGAAAACAGTGAGTTGATAGCATACACAAGGCTGAAATGTTAGCAAAAGGCAAGTGGAGGAAGGAAGATATACTATCTTGTGACATATGCCAATGACCAGGATGCTCTTTTTAATAACTTCCTC